CGGCTGAATCAGGACGCCTGGGGCAGAGCAGCTGGGGTGCTGCCGGGTTGGTCGGATCCGCGTAACTCGGGGACTGCCTGTATATGCATTTTGCGTATCTTTTTCTGATAGATACTCATAGTCTAGCCGTGCCCTGAGTGACAAGGGGAATGATATCAATACTGTACAGCATGTCTTGGATCAGACAATATTCAAAGAACATTTCTATATCCTAGCAAGGCTGCATTCAGCCCAGGCAGAATTGCTATGTGTCTGCTCCTAGGAAGGGGAGTAATAGTGCACTGGGGAAAGCAGCATGTCGTGAAGAGGTGAGTATTGCAGTAGGTGCGCTCGCATGCATACTAGAAAACTAAAGGAGCATTCTGAATACTATTCCCTGCTCCCTGAGGGAAAGTGCAGCACTACACCACCCTGTTCTGTGAGCCGTGGCTATTCAGTGTATTCACAGGAGCCCTCAGAGCATAGTGTTCTTTTTAGCCTCTGATGTAAGAAGCTAGAAAGATTAACTCAGAGAAATTTTTAGAACAGAAACCTGAGAATCATCCAGCTGTACAGAGAGACACTTTCCAAAGCCCTTCGCTCCTAATTGGAGTGAAGAAGAGACTGACATGCAGATCTGCAAATCAGCAGCACTTCCAGGACCCATGGCAGAAATGTGCTGCTAGAACTGAATGATGCCACTACGAAGACAGACATTGAAACACTCTGGCCAAGATTTTCAAAAGCGATTTTGGGAGCCCAACCTGACATACCTTGAAGGGGCCTGATTTTTACAATGTGCTGAGAATCTATCCCTCACTAAACCATGGCCTCTGAAAGGTGTCCCAAATTGGCACCCCAAACCATCAGTCACTTTTGAAAATCTTGGCCAGAGTGTTTCAATGTCTGTCTTCAGGGGGTTTCAGTGTTGTTTTATGCCAGATTGGTTTGAGGCTCAGTTACTTGTTTGTAAAATACTTTGAGATGCTGCCAATTATGGTGTCAAGCACAGTGGCTATTATTTCTGGTCTGTAAGGGTACGTGTTATTGTGAAAGCGAAGTACTCTCTCAATCCATCACCAGAAACTTACTGATATCATGTTTTATACTCTCATTGAATAAATGTGATTCTCTCATGACAGTTCCTGTTAAAATCATTCTTGCAGTGTATTGAAAACCATGGCCTTTACAAGCTGTCGCTTTTAAATCCTAAGCAGTTACTTGGTCCTGTTTGAAGACTAGGGAGCATTGAGGGGTGCATGGTATCTGGATCTTCTTCTGTAAGTCTAAGACCCAGCCTAGAGAAAGGTGGGATGAATTGTGTTTCTCTGCCATCTACATGGCACACACATTTTGGTGGTACAGGTGGGACCTCCCTGATCTGGCACCAGTCCTGAACCACAGAATTTGCCAGACCAGGGGAGGTCAAGGCTCTCCTCTTGGCTGTCGGCCCTACTCCTGGGTGCAAGCCCTGGCCACTGTGCTCTGCTCTCAGCCCCAGCTGAGGCTGTGATCCTTGCTACCAGCCCTACTGCCTCCAGCCCTGCCAGGGTTGTGCTCCCCAGCACGCTGGCCCCAACTAGAACTGTGCTCCCCACCATGTCAACCCCGATACTGCTGGCCCGGCTGGGGCTGTGCTTACCACTGCCAGCTCGGCCTGAACCTGGCCATCCAAGGCTTTCTGGTCCAGCAATATCTGTGGACCACAGATGTTGCTGGACCAGAGAGTCCTGGATTTTAGAGGTTCAACCTGTATATAGTGTCTGTGTAAGTACACGTTGCAGTTTATAACAGACTGCATCCACACTGTGATTGTAAAGCTACGTGTGTCAATGAAAGATGCTGGCAGGGAGGAGGCAGCAGGGAAAAGAGGAGTGTTTTCCTTTTTCATTGACAGAGCTTCTCCCTGATAGTCTTTCCCTGTGTCAGGGGGTTTCAGTGTCAAGAAGATGCCACAATCTCTTCCTGCTGTAGGTGTCTTTACCTACAAAGGAAAAGGCTCTGGCAGTGGGTTGCAGCAAAACATCACACTGACAGAGGTTGCCTTTACTTGCTTACTCCATGTTTCGGGTCTACTCTGCTATTTATGTCTCTGCTAGGAGGGCTACGCATGTGCATACACTACACACCACTGAACAAATCCTGCAGTGCAAATGCACCTTAGAGAGCAGTCTGCATTGCGTCTCTGGTTTTGGTTCTTATTTATTCAGGTTCTGGATTTTAAGAAACAAAGTCGTGTTAGATCTTTTTGGAAGGCTGTGGTATAATTTCTCTGTCTGTTGGGCATGATCATAATTCTTATTTGCAACAAGTTTTAATTCCACTCTTCTCTCATTAGACATTTTCATTAAAGATCTGGAAAAGAGGGTAAATTCATTTGCAAATGACACTAAAAGGAGGGAGTTGTGTGCACGAGTGAGGTCAGAGGAATCATTCTTAGGAAGGTTACGAAACCACAAGATTCAAACTGCTAAAATGAAAGCTATTCCAACTGGTGAGATAATAATTTAAAATAGCAACAGAACTAAATAAATAGCAACCTAGGATGAAAATCTAGCCCCATTACAATCACTGGCAGTTTTGCTATTGACTTCAATGGGGCTAGCATATCCCTTCTTAGACTACGTCTAAACTACTCCGTCGACGGAGCCATGTAGATTTGTTTTTTTGGCAAAGGCAAATGAAGCCGCGATTTAAATGATCGCGGCTTCATTTAAATTTACATGGCTGCCGTGTTGAGCCGACAAACAGCTGATCAGCTCCTGGGGTGAGGCATACCTGGGTTGTCGACAACTCCCTTTGATGTCGGCAGGGGAGCGTCCAGGCTATCGCGCTGAGCCGACAAACAGCTGATCATCTGTTTGTCGGCTCAACGCGGCAGCCATGTAAATTTAAATGAAGCCGCGATCATTTAAATCGCGGCTTCATTTGCCTTTGCCAAAAAAACAAATCTACATGGCTCCGTCGACGGAGTAGTTTAGACGTAGTCTAAGAAGGGATATGCTAGCCCCATTGAAGTCAATAGCAAAACTGCCAGTGATTGTAATGGGGCTAGATTTTCATCCTAGGTATAATGGATGGCAAAATAGACAATGCTGGGCAAAATTATACAGAAGACAGGCCCATATTTGGGATCATCAATTCAATGCATCATAGAATAGGAAGATAGTATCAGAGAACCTGATCCAATGAGTTTGGGAATCCAAAAGGTTGGGAAAGTTAAAAGGATGTTGGAGTCTCTCCAAATATTAAAATATCTAGAAAAGAGATTTTTCTCTGTGGAACGATGGGACATGCACAGATTTCCACCAAAGCAGTACATTCTGAACAGTAGCATGTGGCTTCCCCTCATGATGGAGCATAGCCTCGGCTAATGAAAACTGTCATAGCTCCACTGAAGTAAAAAAAGGTAACATTTACACCAGCTGTAGGGTCTGCTCTTTCTTTCTAGCTGTACAGCTTCTTTAGTATAAAATATTGGTCCAGTTACAATCATTAAATGTCTCTTTAATGATTAACTTTGCAAACACAGGAAGGTTTTTCTTTACCTCTCCATCAGATCTGCCAATGGGTGAGTTCAGAATGAAGTCAGGAGGTGCAATGACATCCACCAAGGCAACTGCATCATCTTTCAACTGTTTAAAAACAAAGAGCATAAATTTGGCAGCTCTTCTAGATTTCTATGGTTACCTATGAACAACAAAGCAGCAGTAGAATTGTTTCTGCAAACCACCAGCTAATGGTAACTTAAGACGTTGCACTTTGAAAGATCCACTATCAACACACAGTCTATTCACACAGTCTACTTTTGCCTCTCTTTCACAGCAATTAAAAAAAAAGAAATCAACTCTGTATTTCAGTTTTCCATAATTTACTTAAACACTGTAAGGGTTTGTTTTATTGTAGGCAGTATTGTGCATATCTATACAAACTGATGAACACACAACTCATTCATTTGCATACAGTTTCCAGTTCTTCCTTACAATTCATATCTTGCCCTGTCAAAATGCATGCTAGCTTAAAAAGCTATATGCCAAGAAAAAACCCAGATATTGATGAACTGAGGTGATAGAAAAATAAATACAATTGTACTGCAACTCTCAGGTGTTTTATTGGTAAATGACAAGTGAAATCCAGAGCATGATCTTCCAAGAACTTTTCCTGAAAATAAAATATTAATTTCTCTGAGTGCTTGTAGAATACTCAGGATTTGACCCAATGCTACTAACTTTCTCCCCTTTTATTTTGGGAAGGGCTATTCAATTGCAAATAAGATCTACTGGTAACTGATCTACTGAAGTGCAGAGTAATTTGTATGTCTTTCTTCTGTTACTGGCATGTTCTGTTGCTGTCCATCACACCAGAATGATATTGGAGTCTTACCTTGGAACAAAGCTCCAGAATAGCATTCTCTACGAATCTACCAGGCTGTTCACCTGAAACATATCCACCTGCAAACACATTGACAATGAAATTAAACGGTGAAGCTAGGATTCTATTGATATACTCCTTTTACCAATGGCATGGATTTACACATTTGATCAGTATTTATGAAGATGAAGTACAGCCTCATGTCAGAGTTGTGATGACTTACTCACGAGACAGACTTTAAAAACTCACTGCCTTAGGCACCTGGAACTTTTTATCTGTGTAAGTCAAACAGCTTGTCTGCAGCCACAGGGGATGTGACTAGGAAAACACACTGCTGTGCTGTGCTGTAACTGCCCAGTTGGGATGCTGAGAGCCCTAACTGGAAGGAATCTAGTTCAAATCACCCTGTCTGGAAGAGAACTATGTTAAGGTAAATTAAGTATCTTGAGTAGTCCTGTGGCACCTTAGTGACTATCAAAAATATATACAGAATCATGAGCTTTTGTGGGTAAAATGCACTTCCTTTCCAGCTCCTCTGAAGAAGTAGTTTTTCACCACAAAAGTGCGTTTTGCTCATGACACTAAATATATTTTTTAGTCTCTAAGGTGCCACAGAACTACTTGTTTTTCAAGTTACAGCCTAGCATGGCTACCCCTCTCAGACTAAATATCTTTTAGTTTGCACCAGCAGTGTAAACATGGAACAGCTACAGTACAGCGTGTCAGTGTGCACTGCAGTTCTCTTCCCTGGAGTCTGAACAGCAGAGCCAGTTAGACAGAGTCACACTTATGGTGTGGCTATCTATTATCCCTCCCCCAAGAGCTGGATCTCACAGCCCTTGTGCTATCAGAGCTTAAGCTCTTAGGTTATCTGGAGAGGCTGAGTCTTTTAGAGCCAGAGTTCAATCCCTGCTTCCAACAGCCTACCCAGTAACACTGCATTACACAGGCAATAACTAAATGTTGTAGCCAGGGGGACCAACAGACTTGCTGGGCCACTGGACAAGGTGGGAAGCAGTCCTGGTTCCACGTTCCCAGAAGGGGTGGGACGTTGGGCAAAAGGAGTGGGGTAGGCAGCCCTTAGTGCTGCCTGGACCATGCAGAGCCATGCTCCTCCCTCCCACCAGCCCTCAGAGCTGCCCAGAACACAGGGCCTGGGTATTCCAGCCACTGCTTCTGCAACTGAAAACACTGGGCCCCAGGGCAATTGCCCACCCCTCATTGGTGGGCCTGGTTCTAGCATATATTCCAGTCAAGAGTCTCTCTCTCCGTGCCAAAGTGCAATAGACTGTATAGAAAAAACAAAGGTTACAACTGAGGCTTTTTAACAAGTGATTCACAATGAATATAGATTTGATCTCACCTTGGTAGAGCACGGCCATATGTTTACTTAAAGACCATAGTCCATACAGAGCACTAAGATGCTTTAGCACAGGCTGGAGCGTAGATGGTGTGTCTGGATCATGAGTGTGTTCATGATACCTTTGTAAGACTGTCTGCTCAATAAAAGCGATGGCTAATGAACGACAATAGTATACCTTAAGAAACAGAAAAGGAGTAAATAATATGTTGACAAACAAAATACCAAAAGGCTAGCTCCTCAGGGGCTATAAAATGGCATAGCAACGTTGAAGTTAATGGATTATGCCGATTTACACCAGTAGACTATCTGGCTCAAACTTTTAATGAATAAACAAAAGTCTCTCTGGGAAGTGCGCACCTAGGGAAGTGTTTTCAAAGTGTGCCTTTCACGTGTCTGATTGGCTAGGGACAATTAGGTTTTTCAGATAAACAAAGGACATATCTATTGGAAATAAGGTCCCTAATTCTCCACCATCTCCCAACTTGTACAGTCTGTCTAGCCGTGCAGAGGCAGGGCGAAACTGATGCATAACATGCTTCCATTCAGATCTGGCAGTATGTCACAACTATTTTGCACAGGCATAAATGACTACAGAACACGGAAGACAGTGAAAAATCAGGCCCAAGGTCCTGTGAATGCTCACTAAGCCCTAACAGAAAATGCAACATAAATTAATATGAATGATACCAGTAGGATTCTATAGAACATATTCTAAAATTTACACTACTGAACAGACAGCTCTCCTTTTACAGATTGTTTTAAACCATCTTATGGAATTTATAGCAGGGATATAATTTAATCTCTCTTTCTACATATACATTTAGATTAGAGCATTTGTTTGTCTGTCTGTTCATGAGGCCATCTGTCCATGAATCCATTTGTTCAAAAACTCCTCCTAAACAGTAAGGTGACCATATTTGGTATGTTGCGTCCTCTTACCCTAAGTTATCCTAACTTAAAGCAAGATCAGGGTCGTTGTGCTAGGAAAATGGGATGTGCCCGGAATCCAATAGCTAACTCTGAATTTAGATCTGAATGTGATGATCAGAACAGATTTCTTGTCACAATCAATGGTCTCCAATAGCTCTGCTGGAGCCATGAGAATGAATTCCTTTCTTCCTTCCCCACTTCTTTCTACAATACATCCAATCTTGTAGTCCTGCATTGGCCCCTTTAACCTTCTGGCTGGGAATAAATGGACAGGACTCCTTTCTGAGCCTATTAACCCTGCTCAGCCAGCATGAGACATCACAGATGAGTGATACAAAACACACTCTCCCTGCTACCCTGGCTGTCTTCAGTGAACTTTCAGCTTATAACAGGTCAGGAATCTATGCCAAATCTCCCACAGTATGACTGAGCACTAGATCATTTCTCTGCCAAGGGGCTGACAGAAAGTGCTTCTTCACACCCTGCAAAGCTCTCCAAAGCTCCAGTATGCTAATCATTTTCAGATGGATTTAATGCACATTATTTATAAGAAAAACTCTCCCCTGTGCTGCACAAGCATTGTAGGAAGGGAAGGGGCCTAATGAATAAAAGGATGAAGCAGGGCAGGGTGCCTCTATATTGTTCCACAAAGAATGGCTCTTAACACACTTGGCCATGCACCACAGTTCCAAAGGGGAAGTCACAGGGTAATAGACTGTACCAGATGCAATCCTAGTTGTATTTACACAGTTGTCAGCAGTAAGTGCCAGCCAGGGAACATGTTGTTCACAATCTGAAACAGACCCTGCAAAGTATACATCTTCTTTGAAGATGTTGCTCTGATGAAGGCTCTGATGGTGGTTACATCCACATACCAGCATGAAGACAGGTTGTCTCTATTGGGACACAGAGTTGAGTGTTTCTTGTGAGTTTTCAATGTACTTTTCAGCAAGGTGAGTAAGATCTCCAGGGAAGCTGAACCCCCTCAGGAGTGACAAATGCCAAATATTCTCAGCTCCGGGTTCCAGCCAGTTTTGCCCAGAGGACAGAGATGCATGGTGAGGTGCTGCATCCTTCAATTTAGAACCATGCCCTCCTTGGCTGTTAGAATCTTGTTGGGGGACAGTGGATCCACTAGTAGTAGACTGTCAATGTTTCCTTTTCAGTTTCCAGTACTGTCAGTCTGGTATCTTTCATGAGTGCTATGCATTTAAATTATAGACATTAGAGATGGAAAAGACCTATTAGATCATCTAGTCAATCTACCTGCCAGAGCAGGATTCTTTCCTACAGTATGTAATTGGCCACAAGAGCAGCATAATAAGCAGATGTAGACGTACTAATCAGGAGCTACAGAAGATTCAATAGTAGTAGTTGTAATATACAGAAGGGGAGTTTAAAATTAAAGATTAATTTAAATATATTACACAACTATGACTGCACTGTTCTGAGGGAAACTTTTCTGAAAGATTTAGGAGTGACAGAAGGATAAAAGAAACAAGATGTGGCAAACTTACATAAAAATATATGGTAAAAAAAGGTAAATTGAATATATCGTTACCTGACTGTTGTTTCTTGCTTCAAAATCACTACTCCCAGACTCTTTCTCATGGCTCAACTTCCGGACACTTTCTCGGAGCAGGTAACAAACCAGCCATTTATAGGCAGCTAGTGGAACTGTAAGACAGAAGACAATTTACAGGTGTTAAAGAGAGAAAAAGTGAAATGCTGCTAGGAATCACAATCAGAATATGCTTTTATGCTAAACTTATGTTATTTGGGATGGACACTGGATTCCTGTTTGAGGCTTATGCAAATCAAAAAAACTCTCTGGCAGCCATTGCATGACAAACATTCAAACAGCGTTGGGCAGTGTTACCTTTTGGACAAGAACCTTTCAGGGTCACCTAGGCACCTCAGGAAATGGTTCTCTTCTCTCTGAGCTGACACTTAACCAAGGCTTCCGCATAGTCTGATGGGACAGTGTTGCTGAAGGTGTTGGGGTTGATTCTCCCTTGTGGCAGAGTTCTGCTAATTGCAGGACAGAGAAAAGGCTGTGAGGGAGCCAGTTGTGACCCCCTGCTCCTCTGCAACCTGATCCTAGCACAAAGAGCGGCTCTAATGTACCTCACTGATATAAGGTCCCTCAATGATTTATGCCCCTGGAGAGCAGGCATAGCAAAGCTCCACTCTGCCATGACCCTTCCCTGCTTCCTGCCTCTGCCCTCCTTCCTATGACACTTTGGAGGTGGGTGTGGGCAGCTTTCACGGGAGGAGGCTATGCTATTTCCACCCACTTGAGGCCACTTGAGATTTTTTCTTTGCTAGAGGAATGCTCTGTTGGCAACCCACTGCTACAAAACTACAACTGTACTGCCTGACTGTGGGGCAAAGTGGCTGCAGCGTACTGGAGAATCCTGACCACTGTCTGAAATAAGAAAAAACAAGGTCTTGGCCACATTTATTCATTAAATGTCTCATGACACTTTTTACAAGAAGGGGTTGTTTCCTGTAACAGATTCAAGTTTTCTATTCGTTATTTATATTTTGCCTCCTTATAGGTTCAGAGATGTAAGGTATGTTCTCTTCCCATTTTAAGGCTCAATCCCGCAAGGTATTAAGTATCTCCTGACAGTACAATGGACACTGAAGAAAGCCAACACTTTCTGGGTTGAGCTCCTTAACAATTGTGGTGTGATGGTGCATGGCACTAAACTGTTGCTATGTTCCACACACCTATGGCTGTCTTTCAGTGGCAAATGAAGTAACCACTTTGTATATGAGCATGTTACATATTTAAAGCCCTCTGAGTTTACTAAGGAAGCAGGTACCATGGTACATCTGGATGTGTTTAATGTTGATAAAAAAAGAAGACTGAGGGGATATCTGATAACTGTCTTCAAATATGTTAAGGGCTTGATGATCAATCGTTCTCCATTTCCACTGAAGGTAGGACAAGTAGTAATAAGCTTAATCTGCAGTGAAGGATATTTAGATTAGATATTAGGGAAAAAAAACCTAACTGTAAGTATGGTTAAGTACTGAAATAAAAGCTTGCAAGGGAAAGTTGTGGAATCCCAGTCATTGGAGGCTTTTAAGAACAGGTTAGAAATATACCTGTCAGGAATGGTGTAGGTACACTGCCCTTACTTCATCTTGGGAAAATGGCCTAGGTAAACTCTCAAGGTCCTTTCTAGCTCTATATTTCTATAATTTTGTTTGTGATCCTTGGCTAAATCCTGGTGCTGTCAATGTTAGGCATTGACTTAGTCCAGTACTATTAAATGACTTATAATAGAAAATTAATACACACGAACTGATACAGGGTTTTTTCAACTCTGATTTGGCTGCTTTGGTAGGTAGTAAAGAGACAAAAATGTGCTTAGTTGTTGTTAGTTTGTGCTGGCCAGCATTTCACAAGTTTGAGATTTACCACAAAGCAAAGCAAATAATTATTTCAGCACATTTTGAAGTTTTTGTCATAACTACTGAGGCATTATCTCAGTTGGCACTCGCATCATTACCAAGACTGCAGTAATCACAGCATTTCTCCATTCAATTAGCTGAGCACTGAAGCAGTTATTTGGATTCCAGGAAACAAGCAGATTGCATCTTAATAACATCTATAAATTAAGGTTAAATTTCTACCCACAAGTAGTTCTCAGTTTCATAGACTCACTTTTGTCTTAAATCTCCATATAGATCTAATTACCTCTAATTTCCCCCTGGTGGCAAATTTGAGTAAATAGCAGCAATAAGATCGTGGGAATGGCATGTAATGTCTCTCTCAATTTGATTATAGCAGAGAAAACCAAGACAATTGCTGAGGTTTTTTTCTCACTGTTTCTCCATTTTTTTCACCCAAACCAAAGACAATTACTATACAGTGACATACTTCAAAACTGGACAATTTTGTCTGTACATATTTTATTATTCAAAATGTTGCCTTACTCAACACTGTTCTAACAAACATGCACTCTCCTTATAAAGTTACTTCAACACCCCAAGCTAATAACATCAAACAGAGATCTGTCCCATGTAAGAGTGTCTGGCCTTGTGTAGACTTCACAGTTCTATTAAAAAGCCCTCAGGTTTCATAGATAAAAGAGGCTTGTACACACATCAATGATCCTCCTACGGATTTAACACCCCAGCTACACCAACACAATGAAATCACCTTGACTAGTGGTACAGAGCTTCTTATGACAAAGTGAGAGCAACACAGTGTCAGTGTGAACCAGTGGTTGGCAACCTGTGGCCCTTAGGGGTTCTATGAGTGGCCCTAGGACTGTTTTTTACTGTTGCCCTGGCACAGGGTGGCCAGATTCTGCTGGTTTGTGGACATGTAGTTTTTTTCCTGCTGGTGTCACAAAAGTGGCACACGCTTAAAGGGCATGTGCAATAAGGTGCATGCTGATTGATCCACAAATTGTAGGTATGCAAGTAGAGTTAGCAAAACTACCCTATTCTGAGAGACGATCTTGGTTATGACAATGCTGCAGCCCACTGAGATGAGAGAGGGCCACTTATGTATTTTATTTGACATCAGGAAGGGGGGTTAGGGAGGGGTAAGCAGAAGGACATGAGGGAGGAATGAGGCACAAGCCCCCCAGTTGGCAGCTATCCTCCAGACCAGGGGTCTCCAAACTTTTCAGCCCGAGGGCCGCATTAACTATCAAACAGCAGTTCGGGGGCCGACTACACACTTGAGGTCCAAATAAAAAACAATCAAAACATGGATGTTGTTTTAATTATTTATTTAATATTATTTTATTCAGTTATTATTTAATAACACATTCATACACTACACATGAACACCTGTATTAGTGTGAATGGTGAAATTGTTTCCTGGATGCCAAAATAGCAGACATTTCTGGCTTTAGATTTGTTGTCCCTAACATCAACAGTGACCTGAGATTATCATCGGACAAGTTTGTTCTCAAATTGTTCTTCACGTATTTCATTCTTGAAAATGTTTGTTCACACAGGTATGTTGTTCCAAAGATTGAAAGGTACCTTGATGCAAAAGTTTTGACATTAGGAAAGTCTTCCTTGGGCAAAAACTGGTAAAAACCCACCAGTCCTATTTTGAACTTGTCCCTAAGGAGGTCATTTGCTTGCAACTCAATGACTTCCAGCTGCAGTTCATCTGGGCAACTGGCCACATCTGCTTCAAATGGGTTTTGAAACAATCTCACTTCTTCTGCCTTTGAATCCAAAAAGGTCTCCACGGGCCGGATGAGAGGCCCTCGCGGGCCGCATCCGGCCCCCGGGCCGCAGTTTGGAGACCCCTGTCTTAGGGTATAGATTATTGTTCAAACATAAAGACTAAAATGAAACAATTGAATTGAAAATGTGGACTGCTGCCCCACACGCTTTTCCTTTGCCTCCCTTCATTTCCAACATGTCTTCTCAAAACCCTCTGAGAGGGTCTTTCTGTGATTTTCAAGTTCCCCTAATCTTTCCTGTCACCTCTTCTTCCTCTGAACTAGTAAACAGGCAGTGAAGAATAACACTGTTAATGTGTTTTCACTAGAAGCAATTGCTGTGTTGACTGATTAATTTTGGTGTGTCCATTCTGGATTCTTACTTGTAGGAAAGACAAGCAACATCCAGTGCTGGTTCTGTCCATGTTGATTGACAGTATGCAAGGACCACTGTTTTCATGGAATCCAGAACTTTCTGTTAGAGATGTTTACTCAGGATGTAAATGTGCACAAATGTGTACCCCCCCGGTCGTCCTTCCCGGAGCACATCCCCGTGTTCCCACCACCACACCCAGCGTCCTCTCGCATCCAAGTTTGATCTAGTCTTTGGCCTTTGGGTACCTGCTTCGCAACAGCATTGTCTGCTCCGCCTACCATTCGCCCCAGCTGCACCGCGGAGAGAGGGCAGTCCAGGCCCGCCCCCTCTCACGGACCCCAGCCCAGGGCCCTAAGAACATGGACTCTGCTGCAGTCTGGTCCGGCTGGTGGGGCGTCCTGCCATAACGCACCAGGCCACGTGCTCTCTTTGCCCACCCTGGGCGACTTCCTCTCTCTGAGGCTGGCGTCACCACCAGCACCCTCTCCCTCAAGGAGTGACTCCTCTCTGCTCACCTCCTTGCTTTGGGTCCCATCCACCATGGGTCCCGCTCGAGAAGTCTCTCACCTCCTTTCCCCCCCTTCTTCCCGCCTCCCTTCCAGGTTGACGGTGTATGTTGCAACCCGACATCGCCCCGCCCCCGCGACGCTCCATGGGGTAGGGTCCAGGGTGTGCACAGGGGTGTGCCGGTGCGGCGGCAAGCGAGCAGCTGCCGCACTGCCGGTATTCCGCCCCCCAGCGCCACCAAACAGGTGGCGATCGGCGGGGTCAGAGTGCGGGGCGTTTCTGACCCGTCACAGCGCATTATTTCGAAATAAGCTATTTCGAAATAACACTGTAGTTAGACATACCCTTAGGAAGGTGTTTCACAATTACAGCTGGACTCACACAGCGTGAGAGCGTCACTTCAGAGAATGTTGCTTGGTACCATGTACCGTGTAAGAAATGGGAATCTGTATATAGCGGTTTAATTAAAAAAAGTCTTAGAAATACAATTCTTTATTTGTTTATTACACACAGTGGTTACAAAAAATATATACACAGTGAGCACTGGCACAGCTGCACACTACAATTAATGCTCAGCCAGGAATCATCAGAAGGGCAGTCGGTACCAAGCAATGCCTGCCTGACACTAAAGTGGGTGTAGATGTAGATAGGCTGGAGGGTAGGGGTAGGGACCAGAGTGACCTAGACAAATTGGAGAACTGGGACAAAAGAAATCTAATGAGGTTCAACAAAGAGAAGTACTCAGTCCTGCCCTTAGAATGGAAGAATCCCATGCACTGCTGTAGGCTGGGGACCGACTGGTTAATTAGCAGTTCTGCAGAAAAAGACCAGAGGATTACAGTAGACAGAATCTTGATATGAGTCAACAGTGTGCCCTTGTTGCTATGAAAGCTAACTGCATATTCAGCTGCATATGGAGACGAATAGGAGCCAGCAGATTGAGGGATGTGATTATTCTCCTCTACTTGGCACTGGTGAGGCCACATCTGGAGTACTGCATCCAGTTTCAGGTCCCCGATGACAGAAAGATGTGAACAAATTGGAGAATCCAGGGGAGGGCAACAAAAACGACTGGGAGCTGGGACACATGACCTATGAGCAGAGATTGAGGGAACTGGGCTTATTTAGTTTTCCGGAGAGAAGAGTGAGGGGGGATTTGATAGCAGCTTTCAACTACCTGAAGGGAGTTTCCAATGAGAATGGAGAGAGGCTGTTCTCAGTGGTGACAGATGACAGAACAAGGAGCCATGGTCTGAAGTTGCAGTGTGGGAGATCTAGAGTGGATATTAGGAAAAACTATTTCATTAGGAGGGTGGAGCAGATGACATCCTGAGGTCTATTCCAATCCTAATCTTCCATGATTCTATGACTACTGAAAGACAGAGCGGCTCATTATCAAAATGTTGTTTCAAAGCCTCCCTGATTCAAATAAGCTCCTCTAGAGTTCCTCTAATAGCCCAGATGTCTGATTGCTCAAAATCAGCTGCAAGGTGATCCACCTCAATGCTCCACTCCTGAGGAAACTTTCACAGAGGCTGCTATGACCATGGGAATAGTTTCCAACCTGATTCTAATTTGCCAAAAAGCCAGCACCAGCGACCCTTTATTCTGCCAAGTGAACAGTCATTTTGCAACTAGTCAGTTTATAGTTGAAGTGCTCCTTCATGCTGTCAAGGTTTCCGATGTAAGGCTTTAAGAGCCATGGGACTAAGGGTTAGAATGGAACTCCCAGGGTCACTATCAGCATTTCCACATTTGTCTGGAAAAGAAAGTCCCTGCATGCAGCTTTCATGCTGCACAGGCCAGCGCTCCTGGAGAAGCATGTATCGTGCACCTTCCACGACCTTATTAATGTTAGTGAAATGATCCCAGTGATCCTCTAGCACCTGCTCCAATCCAAGATGGCCTGCGGCCTAAATTGAGATATGCATGCCATCTATCACCTCACCTCAGTTAGAGAATCCCATTGTCACAAAGTCATCCACTGTGTCCTGCACTCTGTCCAGATTCACAGTCCATCATAGAAGGAGACGATCAATGGCCCTGCACACCTGTATCACTACAGTCCCCATGATGGACTTCCCAATTCCAAAATGATTTGCGACTGATGAAAGCAGTTTGGAGTTGCCATCTTCCGTATAGCAACCGCCACACACTTTTTCCACAGTTAGAGCAGCTCTCCTTTTGGAGTCCCTATGCTATAGGGTAGGGATGAACCCTGCACAGAGTTTAAAGAAGGTGGCTTTGTGCATATGAAAGTTCTGCAGCCACTGCTCATCATCCCATATCTGCATCACAATCTGATCCCACCACTCAATGCTTGTTTCCCTAGCCCAGTAGCAATGACCCACCATGTGCAGCTGCTCCGTGAATACCAACATCAGTCTTGAGTTGTTTCTTTCCATGGCACACATGAAATACTGCAAGATCAGCCATATTGTGTTCACTTATTACTAGACCGGTGAGCAGGGCAGGATCCTTGCTTTCAGGCAGTGATGGCAGGCACTAAGGGGCAGTTGAAAAATGGCCCAAAATGAAATTGGAAGACCTTGGAATTATGGGAAGGACTCCCAGAACTCCAAGTGGGAGAGACTCCCAGAACTCCAAGTGGGAGAAAGTGGTGATTTACCCAGAGTGCATTGCTCGCTCTCTCAGTGCTAGAGCACCAACTGTGGACCCACTCTGTTGACATAAGGAATGTTGTATGAACATACACAGGCAAGGTAATTACAGCATTTTATGTTCACTGACATTACTTACGTTGTCTTAACTCTGTAGTATAAACATGGCCTCTCTCTTAAAAACAATACAATAGCAGAGGACAAATACCAATAAAACACAACTTTAGAGGAACAAGAATAACACTCTACTCAAAGAATACACACAAGCCAATATTGCATGAGACCATTCTGTCCAGAAATTCCATGTTAGAATTCAGTTTCCACATTTTGTGCCAATGAGACATATTAAGAAAAGAAAATTGTGTCCCTAATAAATTGCCACGTGCATCGCACAAAAAACATAAATAAATAGCAAAATGCAATTTGATGGATAATATAAGAAGTGATAGTTGAACTGCAAAAAGCATTGGCTCAGGTGAACATTCAAACTTCAGTTGCCAGTCAGCTTATCAGATCTAGAGCGGGTTACATACTGCAGAAAACTTTGTAAATTTTTAATAGAATCTTTAACTTTTTGAAAAATACCAACTCTATACATGGCTGAAAACGGCAAATATTTCTGCCAAATAATCATCAACAATTTGGAAATTTTAAACCAGCTCAGTCTGACTCCTTTTTCTGTCTAGAAAGCAGGCTGCAAGGACATGGTACTTCTCATGGTCAGCCAGGTCACATGCACAGCACCTGGCACAGCACCTGTGGCTGCTTTGGAAATCTAAAGAGTTGCGTGAAAGTAGCAATAAAAACACCAACAGATCAAATTAAGTAACATTTTAATCTGACTTAATTTAACATCCCTAGTTCTCTTGCAATGAGAGTTCTCTCTCTCCACACATACCATAATAAATACCAGAGGAAAAACATTGTTTATTAGGGATCATAGAATCATGATTCTATTACTAAATGACCCCGCAAGGGTCATCTAGTCTAACTCTGTCAAGATACAGGCTGTTGTGTCTAAAACAGGGGTGGGGAACCTCTTTTGGGTAGGGGGCCATTGACCCATAGAAAAATTAGTTGGGGGCCGCACACAAGTGAGAAGCAAGGTGAAAAGTCTCTGACTGAGAAGGAAAAGGCCCGACGTTCCCCACCCCTGGTCTAAAAGGATGTGCCTTAGTCTGAGCTCACTTGAATAATGTGAGTTTGGAAGCTTGGCTAAAATTCTTAAGGCTTCTAGGTAAGCTGGTTGTTTACAAAAGATGATGGAAAAAATGCAGAGCGGAGAAAGAGAAGAAAAATCAGCTGGGAGTGGGACAATAAATCTAGCTACTTTTACTGAGAAAACAGAAAAGGGCTACCTGAGGAGTCCATGCAATCTTCAATGCTAGAGGCTGTGAATTTCTGGCCAAGAATATGATTGTAGTCTTCCAAAAAGTTTACTGATCCAAGAGGGGATGCAATAGGAGCTTTATCTGGAATACCAATGATAATGCTTTGTTACAAAGTCAGTGTTGGACTATTTTGAGGTAAAACACTATCCTAGAGGCTAGGTTTACTCTTTCTTGATTGGCCAGGTGTAGAAATATTAAGCCAAAATATTAAGTTTATTACTACCCAGGGTGAATAAGTGCTGAGGTGCTGACCTGGCTCATTGTGAGCTCCCACTGGAGTGAAGACTGTAGATTCAATACCCATGAATGGGTTTCCTACACCTGGAAGATCTTTGCCAGAATCTGTGCCAGCAATTTGTCCTGTGATCTTGTATCCAGACAACAACAAAATGCTATACTTATAATTATTAAGTTAGACTACACATTCTGCCACCTATACTCTCAGCACTTAGCACCACAGTTCAATTGGAATTAACGACAGGTCAGATAATATTTAATGCATAAAAGCATGGAAGAGATAGATAACCTTTAGATTATTTTTTGAGGACCAAATAACAGACTTTCTGTGCAGATAGCTTCCATTGATTTCTAGTGAATTTGGGAGTTTGAGTCCCCAGCATCAGATCCTAAATTACTTATTATTAATTTTTCAACAACTACCTGCTTACAAACATGCAAACAACTAGCTATGATAAGGTCCAGACACTGTGATGACTGATATAACAGAAATATATATATAGAGATCAATACATTTCATTATGAAGATACCTAGCCTGTTATTTATGTCCTACAAATTATGATTATATAAATACATACTGTTAGTATGAAATTACCTCCTAATGTTGTTACCAATCACTACTTAGTTCAGAACAAGATAGAATACTGCACACTGACCTTGGTGTTTAGCATTCACCCAGCCCAGTAAATAGTTGCTGGTTTGCTGAAGCAGAACATTATTGTCTCCTTCATATGTGCAGTTTGGGTCATTGTCATTTCGAATGTCACCTAGACGATTCACTTTTAAAAGAAAAGTCACAAATTTTAATACATAATATAACTCAATCATTATACAAACATGGGTCAAAAGAACTTGGCAACAATTATGTTGTGGCTATAAGAAAAAGATATTAGAGTCAATTTCCAATACAATACAATTATTCTTACCAAAAAGATGTCCCTGAAAAGTTACCCTTTGTTTAAAAAATTAAATATACTGGGGCAAAAGCATGACATCCACTTTAAGAGTGCAAGCTTCATGTACAAAATCTGCATCTGTATTTCTCAACCTTCAAAGGCAGTCTGGATAGCTGCAGCTCTAACTGCTTAATGGTCCATGTAAATATTCCGCTTTGCATCTGAAATTAATTTTGTGGGTGCAGATTCAGCCTGTGCAAATTGGATTTGTGTGACACTGTACATCCAAGTAGCACCCTGGAAACCCCATATTCATGGCTATCATAAGAGCATGATATATTTTATACAAAGTATGCTTTGGGAGGTATCATTTAACATTAAAATGTTGATGTATGTACTATCATTTTATGTGAAGTTATGAAGTACTGCACTGCGTGTGTCACTGAAACATGCTGTGAAGCAAGTAGCAACAAAGGAACAACTGTCACAGGCTAGATAGAACAAAACACTCTTCCAGAGGCTTCTCAGAGAGGGCAGGTATGCAATGAGAGCTCCCGAATGCAAACCTCACAGCAAATATCTTTCCAGCAGATGGAAGAAAGGGACAGTGACAGCATCGCTTGGCAGCTCTTCTCCTGTATCTGGGAGAGCATCTGGAAGAGTGTGAAGTGGGGAGACTGGTGCCCTGCTGGGAAAGGAATCCAGCCTGCAAATTAAGAACTGTGAGCTGCCGGTAACATCTATTAGGGTGAGAAAAGCTATTTGATTCAGATCTCGCTGAGGCCATGTCTACACAAAAAAAGCATACAGCTGTACTGATATAGCTGTGGTGCTGTAAGAGTTCTTGTGTAGCTGCATTGTGCTGACAGGAAAGAGTTCCTCTGTCGATATAAAAAAGCCAGCTTGTTGAGAAGCAGTAGCTATGATGGTGGGAGAGTGTGTCCCATCGAAAAAGCACTTGTGCACATGAGCACTTAAGTGTGCAAAGCTTGAGTTGCTCCTGAGGATTTTTTTTCACAACCCTGATTGACACAAGTTTTCCTGAAATAGGTGCTAGTGTAGCATGTAGTCCATTAAAGTTAAAAATAGAAACTCAGTCTAAATTCTATTTCTTATGTAACAAAATTTGATCTCTATGTCCGCTACTTATAATCACTGCAAATCTATCATTCTGTAGTTAAATCTGTAAGAGACAGCCCGGGCTGGAGAGTTAAAGGAGCATAACAACCCCACAGCTTCAGGTATCGTCACAATCTATAAAAAGGCCAAAGTCCTTTTGAAAACTTACTGCCACGGGCACACACATCTGTTCCTAGCAGAAACTGTGAGAAATATGAACAATCTTTTACTGACTCTATCTATTCACAAGTAGTCCTGTGGCACCTGAAAGACTAACAAAAATAGATATGGTATCATGAGTTTTCATGGGAAAAACTTACTTTATCAGATGATGAGAAAGCTCATGATACTATATGTATTTTTGTTAGTCTCTAGGGGTATGTCTACACTACCCTCCTATTTCGAAATAGGAGGGTAGTGTAGACATACCCCTAGAGACTAACAAAAATAGATATGGTATCATGAGTTTTCATGGGAAAAACTTACTTTATCAGATGATGAGAAAGCTCATGATACTATATGTATTTTTGTTAGTCTCTAGGGGTATGTCTACACTACCCTCCTATTTCGAAATAGGAGGGTAGTGTAGACATACCCCTAGAGACTAACAAAAATAGATATGGTATCATGAGTTTTCATGGGAAAAACTTACTTTATCAGATGATGAGAAAGCTCATGATACTATATGTATTTTTGTTAGTCTCTAGGGGTATGTCTACACTACCCTCCTATTTCGAAATAGGAGGGTAGTGTAGACATACCCTAAGGTACCACAAGACGACTTGCTGTTTTTAAAGCTACAGACAGACATGACTACCCCTCTGAGATTTTGTATCTATTCAGTAATTTGTAACTTACTGGCCAGGTAACCGTGTCCTCCGCAAGCTTCTCGACACTCTTGGGCCGCTTCCTGGGCAGTCCAGGAGGCTAGTGGCTTACCACCAGTAGACAAGGCATGAATCTCACGTCCAAGTTCCGCCTTTGTAAAAAAAAATGAGCTAATGGTAAATAATTTTTTTTTTAAAACAAAACAAGCTCAAGAGTAAACACAAAACACTAAGGGTGAAATTGATCCATGTGACTGCGACAGCCTTGGCCAAGACCACAGATTGAACTAGGTACTAAAAGCATGAAAACCTCCTGAACTAAAGAGCCAGGAGGAGACACATAATTCACACATTTAACTTGGTCTGCACAAAGCCTGAATATTTAAGTGAGACTGAAATGGTAAACATTCACTATGCAGACCGTGACACTCTACCATAACTTATTACAAAAATAATTCTATTTACATAAAGATAATTTAAACAAATTATATTGCACATATGCAAGTCATGAGTCAGGCCCTATATAGGTGCAGAGATACCAAAATATTTCCTTTAAAAAGATTACCAAGAAACTCATTGTACTGCTTTCTCATCCAACATTTAATAATGTTAGTATTTTGCAGTTAAATTATTTCAAATGTATTAACCTGGACTGCAAACTTGAGCTTGACTCTCATAAGCCAGAATGATATCTTTTCAGAAAGTCTCTTGCAGCATCAATTTCAATTGACCAAACCTAAATCTTCATTAAGGCAATGCACAGGTGGATGAGGTATGAACCAACTTTGGCTGGTAAAGGAGACAAGCTGTTAAGCATACACAAAACTCTTCTTCAGGTCTGAGAAAGGTCTCCTATAGGTCACAATACAAACTAGAACTAATTGTTAAGTATAACCAAGTCATGCATATTGTAAGAGACCAATGAAGATGCAGTGACTGTCATTACTTAGGCCTCTACTCAAGAAGAACATCTGTTCAGGAGAGCACATGAACATATACTTAAATCCCACAGAAATCAACAGAACATAAACCAATTATAAAAATTATTTGCTTTCCTGGCCCTAAACCCTAGCATCTCCCTCTCCGTTTCTGAGCCACTTGTGTATATAAGTCTCTGGTTTAATAATCAGAAGTCTGCTGCATTGAAAACCTGAGATGCAAATAAAAGGATATTTATAAACATCTTACTTGTCTTGGACTTTTATCCTTCATCAGAAGACCTATGTGAAATTCTATGAAGTTCATGAACAAAGACTTGGCGAAATGGTCTAAGGCATATGTAGCTGCCAGATAGGGAAGTAGGCGCCATTGCTGGAATAAAAATGAAATCTGCTTAAGGGAAGGTTGGAATAACGCATTATTAGGAGTTTTCTAAGGAAACTAAGAATCATTATGGTATATTTTTTCAGTTTATAGAAAACTACCATATTTAAACTTCAATTTTCAATTTATTAAGTGCTTCCCCCCCAATACCCTAACCAATTACACACTATATTGTTTGTGATTATGTTCCATGTGTAACTAGTGTGAGACGGGAGACACTTTTCCTTTTTCACAAAAATCTGATATTTAAAAAAAAGATAAAAAATCCCAACCCAAATCCAGACAAGTCAACTTAGCATAAATTTTTAAAAAAAGGTCAATTGAAACAAACAATTAAATGTTTTGATTTTTTTCTACAATTAGCTTAAATTTGAAAATGACAAATCATTCTGAATCAGAAAAATAAAACTGGGGGAGAGGGTTATGTTTCAAAATTAATTTTGGCAACTTCTATATTTCTTTGGATTGAGAAATTTGTTGAAATCAACCCTCTCCTGTGAACAGTTTTTTGACAAATTGTCATTTTCCAATATTTTGTTAAAAAATCCCCAACAGCTCTGTTTGGCCTTTAAATCAGTAAAGAAAATGAGCCCTCTTCACAGAAATACTGTTGGTGAAACTATCCAAGTTCATGTTTTTTTAAAATTTTTGCTAAACATCAAATTAAAACAGCACAGTAGTTCAATGTAATTCTTTGCAGCCAGAGACTTTTTTATGTTTGTACAACTCCTGACTTGGGCTACAGCAATACACATAATTATTTCTATATTTTCAAAGGGTAATAAAGCGAAAAAAGGTAAAACTGTGAACATGATCATGAACTGTATACTGATAAAACAAATGATAATACAAAGGGCATTCTTATCATTCATTTTAATACCCACAATGTGGTAGGCAACGTTTACACACAAACGTCCTACCTCAAAAAGCTTGCAATTGAAGATGAGAAGCCAAATCAAAAGGTGAGAAAGATAAATATAATCAAAAGATGCACAGGTGTTATATAAATAATGTACTTCTTGTTTATTAAATAATGTATACAGGTTAAGCCTGCAGTGCAGCTATGCTGATTTATAGCAGCTGAGGATCTGGCTTTATATTTGAACACATTCCATAAATTTGAATTAAATGCCATTTTACAGATTTAGTTTATACCTGCATTTGGTATTCCAGGACTGGTATTTCTTCTTCATCTGTTGGTCCAAACTGACGGCGTGTGGCTGAGAAGCGAATGGCTATTGATAAGGCAAGCTTTAAATTAACCACAGACATGCCTATGATCATAACTCTACCACTGGACAAAGCCCCAAGAGAAGCACCAAACCGTTGCTTGAGATCCTGAGGGAATAAAAGACACACTAAATGGGCAGGTTCATTCCACAGCTTCATAACTGCACTTCCTGCAATAGCAGAATCCTAGTATTTATGTCAAACATTACACTTTCAAGGCTCACTCATGGTGTGAGCATGGACTTTAATGACACATGCATGGCTAAAACGTTATTCAGTTCTGAAACTGTAAGGAAGCAATTAATAGATGTGAAAAAAATACAAACAAGTTCTTTGTAGTATATTTGATAAATTGGTTTCATTGCACAGACAGTTAATTTCATACCTTAAATGAACTAACGTACACCCCCTCTGCTGTGACATCTCCTGTTCTGTTCAAGATATTTTCTTTAGGTATCCTGACATTGTGAAACATAGCAAATCTGTTCAAGTAAATATACAAATATATTAATAATAAAAAAGGAAGATGCATCACATGCTTGGGGTATATGCACTAAGAATGTTAGCTATCGGGTAATAGACAGTTAACTAACTACATGAATTCTTAGTGGTTAGTCTCCTAATCTATAGTCCCGCGGGTGGGGCTGGCAGTCAGAACAGTCTGGCCCCACTCCTGCAGAGCCCCCTGCCACCCTGTGCTGCTGCCTCTGTATCAGCAGCCCCCCCTGCTCGCTCCCTCCCCCCAGACCCAGCAGCCTCTATCCGCAGAGAGCTCGGGCCCCCACAGACAGGGGCTGCTGCTACCCCACACAGCTGCATCTGTATCAGAGGCAGCAGTGTGGGGTGCCAGGCGGGAACCAGTCTGAGAGAGGAACCAGTTTAAAAACCAGCTCCTTATGCAGAACAGCTGCCTGCTGCCCCACACTGCTACCTCTGATACAGATGCAGCTGTGTGGGGTAGCAGCAGCCCCTGTCTGTGGGGGCCCGAGCTCTCTGCGGACAGAGGCTGCTGGGTCTGGGGGGAGGGAGCGAGCAGGGGGGGCTGCTCTGGCAGCAGACTCTGTCCACTGCTTCCCCCCTCGTTGCTGCCTCTGATACAGAGGCAGCCAGGAGGGAGGGGAGGTGGATGTGAGTAGTCATCTAGATTAGGCTTATCAGTTAGTCAACTAATCAACTACTCACTTACATCCCTAATATGCACGGACTACCATAATAAATTAGTGACTGAATGAAGACCTCATGCACTTCAGTGAGAATATAGATCTTGATGTAAGTTTACTCTTTTTTTTTTAATCATATGCTAAATTTGTTTTGTTTTTCGAAATAAATACGATGCCTCCAGGAAAGACCCTCACTGACTGCGCCTGCATTTTCTTTCTGATGAGTCATTCCAGCCAACAATAACATGATTGTCCTTAAAAGAGATTTTGCAGAAAGAAGAGCAATGAGAGGAAGGACGGTCTTATGGTTAAGACACTAGACATGGACTTATGCAAGCTATGTCACTCTGTGCCTTTGTTTCTCTCTTTCCCATTCTGAGCCTCAGTTTCCCATGAAGACTTTGTCTGCTTTATTTTGAGTCAGATTCTTATACTCATATTCATGCCAAATCATTTGTTACTCCACAAATAAAAACATTGACCTGAATGGCTCACTGGCGATGTAAAGTACTGTTCAATATTAATACGGAAATCAGAACCTGCTTGTGAGTTGTACATTCTTTGGGGCAGGATTGGTCTATTATTATGTGTTTGTACAATCCTTAGTACAACATGGCTCTGAATTTGATCAAATATCAACAAGAACCATGTAGAATCAACACAGTGAAAGGGAACTGGGAAAAGGCATTATTTGTACAGAAGCTCCAGCTATGATTTTTGCTCACTAACGTGATGTAGCATCTTAAAAAGAAATAAGCAGGAAAACCTTTTCTTAAGTTGTGGCACCCAACAAGTAATGTTGTTAGAAGCTGCATTAACAGGCAGAATGTCCTGCGTACACATATTTTCAGAAAATGGTGTACTAGTATTTCAGCCAAATGGACACTAAAGACTGGCATGGTACCATCACATCAGCTCCATTTCTGAGTATCCCAGCATCTAACATTGCTTGAAAATCTGTGGTAATAATCAAAGCGAATTCCTTATGCTTGCCAATACAGGCAAATATATTTAATAGTGTGCAAGAGAGCCAGGTCTTTCACATCAATAAATTATATAAGCTTTACAATGCTCCATGTACTTTAGAAATATGAGTAGTTTCCACGGAAACATATCTGCATACTGTATTTATTCTGCCTCATAAACACAGGACATTTTTTGATCGAATGATATATACTCACACAAATGGTTGAAATCTGCAGTGAAACTGAGCATCAGATTCTTGCAACCCTTACTCTGCATACAGACCCACTGAGTTTCGTGGGCCTACTCATAGAGTATGGTACTACTCAATAAACTTAAGAGTGCTGGAGTCTAGAACAATATTTACAGAAATCTGTTTTGGGATCTTCTATAAAAATATTTTTTTTAAAGAGAAAGGACATTTTGGTTATATGCAACCCTTCACTCTCCCCAGCCTCAAGCTAAAAAAATTCCAACAGCCTGTCCCCTCTTAATATCTGTTAGCTACGAAGTGTATACACTAGTTACAACTGAGCATCCCTGTGATACTAAGGTCTCCTCTTGTAAGTATTTACTGAGGGGTTGTAGTGCTTACTACTGGGAGCTGTCCAGTTGAAGTGAATGACAGCTACCTCCGTAGCAATTTCCCTGGAGAAGACTGTAACCTGCGTTGTAAACAGAGGTTCTTAATACCTCTTACTTCCCTATGTGGGGTACCCACATTCTTTATGCAAGCATAAGAGGCAGGGTAGATTCTAGAGGGCAACAGCTAGTTTCCAGCCACACAGGTGGGCAGGGAGTTGGCAAAACATAAATAAAATCATCTGAGATAGTTGAGACAATGTCAGGAATGGACTCATTCAGTCCAGTTCTCTCTCTCTCCCTAAAAAAGAAGGGGATCATGGTAAGCAAAAAACCTCTCAGTCTGTCACAAAAGGTCACAGTCTGTTCTCTATTTGTTGTTGATTCTAGAAGGAAGTTTTGCTGCTGGCTAAGAGTTGCTTCCTACATCTTTACCTCTGGAGAGGTAGGAGTAGGGACTACAGGCAGCAACAACTGCCTAGAAAGTGATGTCCCGAGGCAGCAAATGCTTTAAAAAATAATGGTAAAAAAATACTAACTCAAACTATGTAGGAAGCCAAGGATAATTCCATGTGCTTAATAGGAAGCCCGATATGCATTCAGTCACATGACCCTTTTTAAATCAAGCCTCAATATTAAAAGTTTAGTAACAGACCCAATCCGATTTGTGCTTAATTAAACATAGTATATTAGGTACAATTCTGCAAATATCTATGCATGCTAATAATTTCACTTATGTGAATAGCTCCATTTATTTCAGTAAAACTATACACTTGTGGACAGCTATTCATGTGACTATTTGGAGCCTTTAATACACAATTTCAAGGCCAGCAAGTCTCTTTTATAATACAATACTGAAGATATAATTCTCATATAAATAGCTATACAAGTGACCCAAATATTCCCACCTGTTAATTCTGAGGAAGAAAAGAATTAACAAAATAAATCACTTTATTGTTGTAGTGAGTGTTCTTAATAGGCCAGCTATAAAACCAAAAAACCAGACATACAGAGTATTGTTTGATCATCTCTACACTGCGTAAAAGATTATCCAGAATGATCTTGATGGAAAAAATCCATACTATCACATTTCTTATAATGAGTGAACCAGAAAATTAAATTACGCTCACTTAACAGTACTGAACTTCTTGGTATTGCAGCTTATGGGTTACAAACATATTTGCTGCTTTTTTCTTAGTTAATATCTAAATAAATCCATATAGAAAATGGTAAAACCTTTAAAAAGTTTAAATAAGTGGGCAGAAAGACAAGTTACAAATCTACTGACAACTACTGTGAGTATAGAAGTGAGATTTACTGTTTATGAAGACCATGATGAAAATAAAAGCAGAAGCATATAGGATTGTGGATCTGGACGGCTTTATGAAACAACAGTCATTCTCCAAGAACTTTTATTATTTTAATAGCTTATTTTTATAGTTAACTACATACACACCAATTGGAAGGTGATGTCGGAACATATTACAAATACATGTTTTTATTTTAATAAGTTATAAACCATATTTTGGATCGTTATTCTCAAAGAAAATATAATAAATAGACACAGACCAGATCTATCAACAAGTGGAGGAGAAAATCAATTGAAACGAATAGAAGAGCTACAACATAAATGGCTCTTAATTGTGTAACTCTACAGTCAGGAGAATGTCAAGCACACAAGAGCCTATGCAATAGGCAAGGTACATGTAGGGGAGACACGGGAATATACCTTTCCTAGGGCCTCCATTAAATAGTCGCCGGTGTGATTGGAGCTCTACTCATTTTGTGTTCTGACAGATGGCTCTTATTTGTAAATATAAACTGTTGGGATAATTCCATCTGGGTCTGCCTCCAATTGTGTGCTCTCGGCCCTGGGTAAGTTCACAAATTTATAAATGTTATGACCAGATGGGACCAGTAGATTGAGTCTGACTTCCTGTAACACAACAGGCCATCAATTCTTAACCCATTATCTGCCATAGTGAGCTCATACAGCTCTTACAGGAAGGCATCCCATGTTGCTTTAGATTTCCACCACTAGCCTTAGTAGTTTGGTGCATGGATTAATCACTTACTGTTAAAAAATTGTGCCTTACTTTTTGCTGTGTTAATAGTTGGACAGCATCCTGACAAAGTAATCAATTTACTGCTCTCCAAACTTCTTTCACTTATCAAGTATCAGAGGGGTAGCCGTGTTAGTCTGAATCTGCAGAAGCGATGAGGAGTCCTGTGGCACCTTATAGACTAACTGAAGTGTAGGAGCATAAGCTTTCGTGGGCAAAGACCCACTTCGTCAGATGCATCTGACGAAGTGGGTCTTTGCCCACGAAAGCTTATGCTCCTACACTTCAGTTAGTCTATAAGGTGCCACAGGACTCCTCATCGCTTCTTTCACTTATCGCCATTCAGCAGCCACTATCACTGCATTCTTGCATGTGCAATCCTGTTTGTGAAAGGCAGTAACATCCCCATAACAGCCTCCGGAATCTAGGATTAATAGTGTCCCCGTGCTTCTGCACTGCTAATCAGTACCCCAAATACAATATTTTACAAATAATATACACAGGAAGTGCATAAAATCTAGAACTCTGAGGTTTTCCACCTCCAGTCATTACTGATGCATAACTGGGCTACACATATTCCTGCATGGATCAGTTATAATGGGTGAAGTCACAAACCCATGGCAGCCTCCCTGTCAGGGCTCTGGCCAGTGGTGCAGAAAATGTTTCAAGCAAAGTTAATCTCCCTTCCCTTAAATCATGCTATAGTCAGTAATC